ATCTATCATACGTACTTACTAGCCTCTTGGTCTTTTTTTCTAATCTTTTAATTGGTTAATCATATAATATGCCAGCATGTACACATATACAATAGTATATACTTGGATGAGGCATATTCTCATCCTTATTTTCTCGTCTTTTCTTATCTAAATTTTTTTTTTTAAAAAAAATTCAGGTAGTTCTTTTGGCTTCCCTTGACAACTTTGTAATAGGATGTGTAATGTAATTTATCAAGCTCAAGTCTAGATTAGGGAAAACTTTTATTGGTGCTCTTCTCTAATCTCTGCTCTATGGTGGCTCAAGCAATTTGACAAAGGTATTGAGCATTGCATATCATTACATTAAACAGTCTTCATAAAATGATGACTAGTCATCCATTTCTCATATGACTAGTCATCCGTTTCTCATATGACTAGTCATCCTTGCTTCCAGCTGGATAACAAATTGTTTTGTCCTATTCCTCTTTCTCTCTCTCTGCTGCCATCTGTGGTTTTCTGACCTAACGAATTTTTGGCTGTAAAGGTCACGATTTTGGTCATTTGGCGACTGTCTCTTTTGCATGGAATTTTTGGGGAAAGATTGTTTTGCTTTCTTTCTCTTCTTCCTCAAGAGAGAACCATATATTTTTCATCTATGAGTTTTTCCAATTGATTTCTTTTTGAAAAACTGCTTTTGAAAACCCGAATCTGCATCTAGCTATTCAAATCATCTCTCATTTATATCTAGGTCAGATTCAAGACTGATTTCTTCAAGAGTATGGTTTCTTGAAGAAATTGGTCATTCTCCTTTGAATCCAAATATTGGTTTTGGTCCGTGTTGGAACTTGCAAGCTTGTGCCATGGGATGAACGAGCTGGAGAAGGAGCTGCCATTGCCATGAAGAACTGAGCTTCAAGTTTTGCTAAGTTGGTGAAGAAGATTGCACAAAGGAGGTATTGCTCATATTCCTAAATAGACCTAGGTGAATCTTGAGCTTGGTTGTATTTCCTTTGTAAGAATCTTTTTCTACGTACTGGAATGCCTGGTCGGTTGATGACTCCCAGTTTTTTCCAATGGTGGGTTTCTGGGTGAACAAAATCTGTTTTGCATATCTGTAATTTTTCTGGGTTTGTGTTCTTGGTGGTTGACTAGTCATCTTTATCTGCTGTTTGATGTTTGCATGATTTTGATGATTTCACACACTTTCACATAGTTGTTGCTAGCACAGGGGATGCCTAGATTGATGGGTCCTTCTGAGTGCCTAGGTTGTCACTAGTAATCTTCTAGGGTTGCAGGTACATTGTGGCATGATCTGTGTGTTCTCTTTATTGTGATTGTTCATGACTAGCAGTTGACTAGTCATACGTGTATTTGGTCAAGGTTTAAAGTGTGTGAAGATTGCTGTGTTGTTTTGTCTTGTTTGTGTAATTAAATTTACCATTTGTCACCTAAGTACCAATTTCAGGTGGGGGCACAACAAACATCAGTATTATTAGTAATAGAGGCTGTGAAGGGCATTCGAGCAAGTCACGAGCTCCGAACTTGTCGTCTGTTAATAGGGTCTGTATAAATTCTTTCTACTCCCCTGTTTGTTGTAAACAAATTCTGTAGACGCTCTGTTATTGCCCATGTTAGGCTACTACTTGAGGCCGGAGGCCATTTTGTGTTGGATTGTAGTTTGTAAAAGCATGCTGGTAGTTGGGTTGTGTATTGATGTAAATTATTGCAGGTTGTCTGTTGTTGGTTTGAGCATTTTACAGGGGAGACTCTGCCAAAATTTTGGTAGTTTGTCTTGGGTTTTAGTAAGTGGGCCCGGCATCGATATGATGTCGGCAACAATACGGGGTCCGCCCCGGTTTCGGGGGCAATTCCGGGGCTGGTCCTGTCACCGTATGTTTTTTAGGGGTGTCTTATTATGGTTGGATGGGATGAAGACGATGTTCCTTATGTTTGTGATGTCCAACGTTATGGATGACTTACGCAACCAGATCAGAAGAGTGCGTTGGATTTGTGAATGGAAGTGGCCGTGAAAGGGTTCAGACATACTTGAGCACTTGCGAGAAGGTAGTCCAGAGTTCAATTTAATTGTCACAAAATGTGATAAGAGCTTTATTATGTGCAACCCTTTTTGATGAAAATAGCAGTGGATATCTGTGCGTGTTTGAGGTTAAAAAAAAAATGTTGAAGTGGTATATCATCGATCAGTTCTGGGAGCACTTTCTGAATATTACAATGACTTAGTTGGGTATCTTTCCCACTCATTGTTCTTTATTGTGGAAAAAGAAAAACACCCGTATACACATGATAATAATGTGAGATTGCATGATAGATTCAAAGTAAAACTTCCAAGATATAGGGAGAATGTTGTCGAAAGGCGAGGAGAAAATTACATTGTACGACTCGCACATTTTGATAACGCAGATGATCAACTATATGAGCAGCTGAGAAGAGATAATCGTCAACGTACGTGCTGTGACTCCTGAAACTGAAGCTCTAATGGAAGAATTTGGTCTGGAACAATTTGAGCAAGATGTTATTTGGTTTGGTTTGCCAACATGGAAGTTGGTGCACGCTTTAGATATCTGGGAGCTTTAAAAGGACGCCTAGCACCTTGGGCATGCACTGCAAGAATGGTAATATTTTGTTTAAACTAGTGGGCGAGAGATAACCCATTTAATTTATTTAATTTGTTTTGATTTGTTTTCGTTTTTCTTTAATCACCGGACATGCACCTCATTTGGTTGAGATCCTTGATTGGGCTTTTCTTAAGTCTTCTAGTAGTGTGTTCATGTAACATCATACTCATTTGGAATTGAGATAATGCATATATATATATATATATATATTGTTCTTAGCAAAACGACTTTATGTCCGGTTTTAGTATGAACCTGATATGTGTTGTTGGCAAATTTTTCGCTTTCCCCTTGCTTACGGTAATTGTGATAGCAAGATATCTTGGGAAGTCTTCTTAGATAGGATCCATAATAGCAAACAAGTATCTCCAAAACCATGTTTAGACGAGAAATTAAAGACGGAAATAAGTTTTCTGCAAAACCGTGTTAATATAATAACAGTGGACAAGCAAAAGTAACACCACACAGGCGAGGAAACAATAATTTCCATTCACTAAAAAACGAACTGGTGGTATTTAGCAAAGGCAATAAATCATATAGGAACACTCTTGGCCTTGGAATCAGAATTTTAGATTATGAAATTCATCATACATGCAACGGAACTGAATAATTGGTCAGCAAGCAGTTTTACCAATGACACAAGATTGAATAGCTTTGGCTGTACTGATGACTCTATTATAGACTAGATGTCCAAAGTCATTCAATATTTCGCTTCTTCTTCATTGATCGATAAAATAACATGATGCTTTATTTTGCCAGACCAAGCCATTCTACTGCTTTTTCTAAACGATAAAATGAACGAGCTTTAATTAACCAGAGAGAAAGTTTGAATCTCCCCTTGAAGCCCAATTAGGCTATCACCATATCTTGTATGCATGAACAGAACTAACAAAAAAATAAATTTGAAACAAGTGAATTAATACATAAACAGCAGAAAACAAAAGCTAGCTCTCAATAAGCTCACCTCGTCCACTGTTTCAATTCCTCTCAATCTAAGCATCCAACTCTTCTGGCCAGGGTGTCCTCTTCCCTGCACCAGCACAACTTCTTTAACTGTTTTGTCATGTTGATTAGTGGCTGTAATATTCCAGTGTAGGGTAATAACACTGCTAGTTTCCTATAACATCTTATTTTTAATGCATGTTTACCTATATAATGTTCCAGTGTAGGGTAATAACACTGTTAGTTTCCTATGATATCCTATTTCTAATGCATGTCTATCCATGTAATGTTCCAGTCTATGATAATAACATTGCTAGTTTACTGTTATGTTGATTAATGGCTGTAATGTTCCAATCTAAGGTAATAACACTGCTAGTTTATTGTCATGTTAATTAATGGTTGTAATGTTCCAGTTTAGGGTAATAACAATACTAGTTTCATATGACATCCTATTTCTAATGCATGTCTACTCCTGTAATGTTTCAATCTAGGGTAAAAACACTGCTAGCTTCCTATGACATTTTATTTCTAATGCATATCTACCCCTGTAATGTTCTAGTCTAGGGTAATAACATTACTATTTCCTATGACATCCTATTTCTAATGCATGTCTACTCCTGTAATGTTTCAATCTAGGGTAAAAACACTGCTAGCTTCCTATGACATTTTATTTCTAATGCATATCTACCCCTGTAATGTTCTAGTCTAGGGTAATAACATTACTATTTCCTATGACATCCTATTTCTAATGCATGTCTACTCCTGTAATGTTTCAATCTAGGGTAAAAACACTGCTAGCTTCCTATGACATTTTATTTCTAATGCATATCTACCCCTGTAATGTTCTAGTCTAGGGTAATAACATTACTATTTCCTATGACATCCTATTTCTAATGCATGTCTACTCCTGTAATGTTTCAATCTAGGGTAAAAACACTGCTAGCTTCCTATGACATTTTATTTCTAATGCATATCTACCCCTGTAATGTTCTAGTCTAGGGTAATAACATTACTATTTCCTATGACATCCTATTTCTAATGCATGTCTACTCCTGTAATGTTTCAATCTAGGGTAAAAACACTGCTAGCTTCCTATGACATTTTATTTCTAATGCATATCTACCCCTGTAATGTTCTAGTCTAGGGTAATAACATTACTATTTCCTATGACATCCTATTTCTAATGCATGTCTACTCCTGTAATGTTTCAATCTAGGGTAAAAACACTGCTAGCTTCCTATGACATTTTATTTCTAATGCATATCTACCCCTGTAATGTTCTAGTCTAGGGTAATAACATTACTATTTCCTATGACATCCTATTTCTAATGCATGTCTACTCCTGTAATGTTTCAATCTAGGGTAAAAACACTGCTAGCTTCCTATGACATTTTATTTCTAATGCATATCTACCCCTGTAATGTTCTAGTCTAGGGTAATAACATTACTATTTCCTATGACATCCTATTTCTAATGCATGTCTACTCCTGTAATGTTTCAATCTAGGGTAAAAACACTGCTAGCTTCCTATGACATTTTATTTCTAATGCATATCTACCCCTGTAATGTTCTAGTCTAGGGTAATAACATTACTATTTCCTATGACATCCTATTTCTAATGCATGTTTACCCCTGTAATGTTCCAGTCTAAGATAATAACACTGCTAGTTACCCATATACATCATCTAATTACACCAACAAAAGTAAAACAAAAACAACAGTTTCTTTTTTCCAAACCATAGAAAGCCCAATAGTTTACAAAAAAGCCTTTGGTTCTAATTAACCCGTTGGATATGTGTACAAACAATCAAAACAAAATCAGTTATAGCTTCATCTAATGAATTAGCAAAGGTTTCGACCAACTTCAATTACTTCCCAAAAATAAAAGAGACAAAAATTTTGTTGAGAAATACAGTCAATTAACCAAATGGAGCAACGATCTTCCTCTAAAAGTATTTTCAAATCAAATAGAACTAGGATATTGTATGAACCGAAATTCTACCACATAAACCAGAAAAACATACATACCCATTGACTTCAAAATTGAATTCCAAAGCGACTTATCGGTGTCATAGCCGACCCTCTCTTGCGGGGAAAGGTCCTTTGCCCCCCGCCGTCCTTATCGAGCACCACCGATTGGCCAGCCACATTTGGCGAGCAAAGGAAAAGGGCCTTTGCAGAGCAGTTGTTATCAAGCACCGTGTGGTGATTTTAGGGTTAGGGCTTGGCGTAGAGATGAGATTGTAATTGCTGAGATTAAAAAGATGGGTGCTTGCTTATATAGGCGTGGACAGGGCCCTTTTTTTTTTTCCTTTTCTTTTTCTTTAGACCCCAATGCACGCATCTGACGTCTTTAATAAGCATAATGCATGTATTAAATCTTTTTTTTCTTTTATCATTATTATTTTTTCTCTAAAATTGTATACAGCAATTTAAATGTGTTTATGTGGTTTGTTTTGTTTCCTGTTTTGCCCGAGTTCTTTTTTAAAGAATAGTGCAGAGCTAAATTTTTCCATCTCCAGCCATGCAGGGCTATACTTTAGGGACTTTCATATTTTAATATTTTAAGAAAACTTATGATACAACAGTCGTACATTTCACAACTAAGTATTGTTTAATTTAATTAAACTCCTATTGAGAGACAATATTCCACATATGACAAGATTTATGATAAGATTTGTGTCCACGTGGCACGTCTTATCCTGAAGGAATCTTAATCATTTTTCCGACTATGATTTTCGAGTGACACGTGTTGAATTTTTTATAATTTTTTCTTAAATAATTCGAATTGAAAACATGATTTGAAAACATTTAAAAAGTATGTGTGAAAACATGAATTGGTGTAGAGTACTCGCCTAATCCTTTAGGACTTTGTCCCTTTTTATTTGTACTTGTTACCCTTTTCTCCTCATTAATAAAACACTAACGCCTTTGTGTGTTTCTTTTTTATTAAAAAAAAGGTGACCACATTTATAAATAAATAAAAAAGAGGATGGGTTTCAATGGTCTGACCTCCAAGTCATGACTATTAATTTTTTATAAATTTTTCTTAAACAACACGAATTGAAAACATTTAAAAAGTCTATTATATATATATATATTTATATATTTAAAATCCTTTTTAAATGTTTTCAGCACTTTTAATGTTGGCTGTTGAATATGCATTTGCACGAAATGAGTCTTGTTCTTGCCCACACTTGATAATTTATCTTCTTCAAAAGCACATGCATGGGGCCTATAAAAAATTTGGTCTAGGCCGAAGTTAGGCTACATGTGGCCCAGTTGGAGGGGTAAAGGGTCAAATGTGGCCCTCCAAATTTGGGCAAAATTTTGTTTAACCCATGATTTGAGATGGGTTTTGCATTATTTTAGGGCTATATTTGGGATATAGCCCATGACTAGAGACGGCCTTATATAGGCAGGGACAGGGCCTTCTTTTTTCTTTTTCTTTCCCTTTTTTTTTTTTCCTTTTCTTTTTCTTTAGACCCCAATGCACGCATCTGATGTCTTTAATAAGCATAATGCACGTATTAAATGTTTTTATTCTTTTATCATTATTATTTTTTCTCTAAAATTGTACACAACAATTTAAATGTGTTTGTGTGGTTTGTTTTGTTTCCTGTTTAGCCCTTGTTCTTTTTTTTTTCTTTTTTTTTCCTTCCCTTTTTATTGTTAGTGCCGTATGGAAGACACCTCTTGGAGGGTTTTGGTACAAGATTTGATATCAAAAGTTATCTCCCCCTTTTTCTGTTTTTTTTCCTTCCGGGTTTTTCTTTTTTTTTTTTTTTTTGGCATCTTTTTTCCAGTGTACTATCCCCAAAACAACAGGGTAATATTTTTTTTATATTGATTTCTTGAGGTTCAAGAATGGAAAGTCTTAGTTCATAGAGTAATATTTTTTTTACTTCCTAAAACAACAATTCTCATCTTATAAAAGGATGTCTACCGCTTGAACTTTTTCAAACTTACAAAACAACTTATCTTTCTTTCTCAACAACAAATTGGAGAGCCTTGGAGAGCAGAGGTGAGTTGAATTTTTGTTTTGCATTATGGCTGAGACATATTCTACGACCAATCAAGACTTGAAGGTTTGTGACATTGCCACTACTTATTAAAATACAATTATTATTACTTTCTATCATACGATGTGTTAAATCTATATCTACCTTACGTACCTACTAGCCTCATGAGACATATTCTCATCCTTATTTTCTTATCTTTTCTAACCTAATAAATTTTAAATTTTTATTCAGGAAGAAGGATGGGGCACAACAAACATCGGTCTTATTAGTAATGAAGGCTCTGGAGCAATAATTGTTGCCGTCGAAACGAGGGCTACATGTCCTAATAATAAAGGATTTATTTTGAATGAGGACGCAAAAAAAATGTTGTATATGGAGAGTTGCAATGTACTTGCAACTATGGCTGGAAATTCCATAGATTGTATGAATATATTACGTAGTGTGGATAACGTAATTGGACGTGCATGTGGGAACGTAGTTAATAATGGCATCCATTGTGCACCAGAAATAGTAGTTAATGATGGCATCCTTTGTGCACCAGAAATGGCCCATAGCTATATTGCTGACTGGTTTGAGAAGTGTGGGCGTATACTTGGGAGGTCTACACAGTATATTTTTGAGGGGTGTCTTATTATGGCTGGATGGGATGCAAAAGATGCTCCTTATGTTTGTGATGTTCAACGTTATGGATTGACTTACGTAACCAGATCAAAAGAGTGCGTTGGATTTGTGAATGGAAGCGGCCGTGAAAGGGTTCTGGAATACTTCCGTGCTTGCGGGCTCGAGAATAAGGTCCAGAGTTCAATTGAATTGTCACAAAATGTGATAAGGGGTTTATTATGCGCAACCCTTTTTGATGAAAATAGCGGTGGAAACTTGTGCGTGTTCGAGGTTAAAAAAAAAAATGTTGAAGTGGTATATCATCGATCGGTTCTGGGAGCGCTTTCTGAATACTACAATGACCTAGTTAGTTATCTTTCCCACTCATTGTTCTTTATTGTGGAAACACAAAAATACCCGTATACACATGAAAATAATGTGAGATTGAACGATAGATTCAGAGTAAAACTTCCAAGATATAGGGAGAATGTTGTCGTAAGGCGAGGAGAAAATTACATTGTACGACTCGCACATTTTGATAACGCAGATGATCAACTATATGAGCAGCTGAAAAGAGAAAATAGTCAACGTGCTGTGACTCCTGAAACTGAAGCTCTAATGGAAGAATTTGGTCTGGAACAATTTGAGCAAGATGTTATTTGGTTTGGTTTGCCAACATGGAAGTTGGTGCACGCTTTAGATATCTGGGAGCTTTAAAGGACGCCTAGCACCTTGGGCATGCACTGCAAGAATGGTAATATTTTGTTTAAACTAGTGGGCGAGATAACCCATTTAATTTATTTAATTTGTTTTGATTTGTTTTCGTTTTTCTTTAGTCACCGGACATGCACCTCATTTGGTTGAGATCCTTGATTGAGCTTTTCTTAAGTCTTCTAGTAGTGTGTTCATGTAACATCATACTCATTTGGAATTGAGATAATGCATATATATATGTCGGGTTTTAGTATGAACCTGATATGTGTTGTTGGCAAATTTTAAGCTTTCCCCTTGCTTACAGTAATTGTTATAGCAATGATATATCTTGAGAAGTCTTAGATAGGATCCACAATAGCAAACAAGTATCTCCAAAACCGTGTTAATAGCAAGCAGTTTTACCAATAACACAAGATTGAAAAGCTTTGGCTGTACTGATGAATCTATTATAGACTAGATGTCCAAAGTCATTCAATATTTCGCTTCTTCTTCATTGATGCATGGCAAGATAAAATAACATGACGCTTTTTCTAAACGATAAAATGAACGAGATTTTATTAACCACAGAGAAAGTTTGAATCTCCCCTTGAAGCCCATGGACATGATATTATGATACCAATATTTATCTGGCGGATCTCAGGATACAAATGAAATTAGACGTAAGGATCACACACACGCTCATGCACAAAGCCATTTCTTTTTAAAAAAATACAACAAATTACCAACACAAACCTTAAGAATTACTATCATCCCGACAAGATCACAACTAAAGAATTCGGCCTTCCTCCAACTCTTCCCTCACAAGTAAAGGTTGAAGCCAATAAGCTGCCTAGCCTGAACGAATTTGAATAATCCATGGTTATAGACACATTAACACAAAAGAGTTTTCAATGTTCTCGAGGACACTGGAATTTTCCTAGGGAAGTTTAATCGTGAAACTCTATTATCCAACATACTAATAATGTCAATATATATTTTTAACCCAGATTAGGCTACCCCCATATCTTTTCTAAATAAATAGAAGGAGAATGCAGGCCCAATTAGGCTATCACCATATCTTGTATGCACGAACATCACTAACAAAAAAGGAAATTTGAAACAAGCGAATTAATACATAAACAGCAGAAAACAAAAGCTAGCTCTCAATAAGCTCACCTCGTCCACCGTTTCAATTCCTCTCAATCTAAGTATCCAACTCTGGCCAGGGTGTCCTCTTCCCTGCACCAGCTCAACTTCTTGAATTGTTTCTCTGCCGGAAATTTGCTGTCTCAACTCAACCATCTTTTTCCAGGCTGAACCCAAAAAAAAAACAAACATCAATTTACCATCAAAATAAATTATAATCTTCAAGGACAAACAGCCTCAAAGAATAACATTCCAAATCCATTTTAATTTTTACATTGGAAAACCGCAATTCAGGAATTTCAGTGCTGGGTTACACACGAATCTCCCCTTCAAGCCCATGGGCATTGGAAACATAGTGAATCCTGACTCCGTCTCTGCAGTCTCAACAATCTCTTCAGACAATCTCTTCAGACAATCTCTTCAGACAATCTCTTCAGACAATCTCTTCAGACAATCTCTTCAGACAATCTCTTCAGACAATCTCTTCAGACAATCTCTTCAGACAATCTCTTCAGACAATCTCTTCAGACAATCTCTTCAGACAATCTCTTCAG